TTTTTTTTTTTTTGAGACAGATCTCACTATGTCACCCTCATTAGAGTGCCGTGGCCTCACGGCTCACAGCAACCTCAAATTGTTGGGCTTAAGAGTTAAGGTGCTCAGCTATTTTTTTGTCATTGTTGTCGTTTGTCAGGCCTGCTCTGGGTTTGAACCTGCCAGCCCCAGTGTATGTGGCTGGTGCTTTAGCCACTGAACTTCAGGCGCCGAGCCCTCACTTGCTACTTCTGAGGCCATCAAAACAGTCCCACCCACCTGTGCTACCCAGCCCATACCTGTACATTGTTGTTAAAGGCCTTGGTATCGGTGCATTGTTCCTTGGCTGTGTTGTTGGCAGAGAGATTGCAACAGTATGGGGGAAAGGTCTCGTTGTTTTCCTTGTAGTAGGGTGAGTCCTCAAAATCTGTGTAGTTGGTAAAGCCACAGCACTTGAGCTGGAGACAAGATGGGGAGGGTGGTTGGTGAGGTCTGCTTCTTTCTCTCTACCCCCCACCCCAATCTCCCCAGCCCACTTTACCCCTTCCATGGTGCTGTTCCACACTTGGGTGAAGTCTTTCTGGGAACCATAGTCTTTCTTGATGGCAGGTACCACAAGCAACGTCAGGTAGTGCTCAGCCTGAGGTGGGCAGGCCAGTGTTTAGGAGCTGGGAGAGAAGGTGGCCATTCACAGGCCACAGCCTACTTCCAGGGATTTTGCCCAGTCTTCCTCCCTTGCCCCACCCAGCACCTCACCATCGTTGTGTACACCAAGGCGACCACAGCACCTGCAACCTCAGCGATGAAGATGATGAGGAGGATGAGGAAGAACTGAGTGGGGAACAGGGGTTTGGGTTTTAGGGAGAAGATAGTCCCTTATGCCCTCCTGCCCTAATCCACCCTCTGAAAAAAGAAAGCAGGGGGCCCTATGCTGGAGTCCAAAGGAGGGTTTGGGGATTCTCCAGGGCCTGTTGTCAAGGGTGAGGGGAGACTTGGTTTGGGTCTGTGGAGCTGGGTTTGACACACCGTCATGAGGGCACACTTGCTTTCAGTGTGAGCACCGTAGCAGCCCAGGAAACCAAGGGCAAAGAGCACAACACCAGCCGCGATGAGGAAGTAGCCCACGTTGACAAACTGCATGGCAGTGGATGACAGTGGCCCGAAGATCTTCAGGAAGGATGTCCCATCGACAGACACCCAGATGCCGACTGCCAGCAGGGCAATACCACACAGCTGGGGATAGAGAGGTCAGGCAGGCTTTGAGACAGTGCCAGTAAGCAGCTCATTACATGCAGTTTAGTCAGAGGGATGGGGGTCAAGAGACATCTCTCTATATTGGCTAGGGAGTCTAAAAACTCATCTTATAGAGAAAGAAAAATGGGAGCTGGGACACCCATAGCCAGGATAAGACTGCACACCTGGGCAGATATAAGATATAAATGAGCTCAGGGGTTCCAGAAATATTGAGTGGGGAGAGGGCAAGACTTTCCCTCAGTGCCACCAGGACCAGGATCACACCACATAGGCAGGAGTAAAAACAGGCAGGTGAGAGCCAGGTTCCCATTTCCTTTCCCAGCTATGAGTGCTTAGAACACCTCGTCCTCTGATAGGTGGAAACAAGGGGGTGGTAGCCTTGCACAGTCTCAACGGGTCACCACCACCACCACCACCACCGTCACTGTAGTAACAGAGGCGGGGCTGAGTTTACACCTGCTCCCAACCTTGGCTGGCACAGAGGTTGAGAAGGTTCACCCGCCCTGAGGCCATGTCTGGCTCCCCTCCAGAATCCAACTCCAGGTCTCTGCCCACAAGCAGACTAGACACCTTGCTCATAAGCGGAAACTGAGGCATCTGGTAGTGGGAATACAATCAGAGCTTCTCTTTAAGGCTCTCCAGCTCCAACTCCAAACCTCACAGGGAATCCTGAGCCCCTGATCAGGTAGGGCCTTGCCCAGTGCCCACAGCTCTGAGAGCAAAGCCTTCATGACCCAGGGATTCAGTGGATGGATCAGCCTAACATCCCCTTGGTACCCAGTCCCCACATGCCAGCTATGGAAACTGAGGCTAGAACCTGGAGGGAGGTGGCAGACTGTGGTTGGATGCCAGGCATGTTTGTCCAAGGATAAAAAACTGGGCTTCTAACCTGCAGGGTCAAATTTCAAGGAGCCAGAGTCTTGCCCTATCCTGCTCTGCCCAGCCTGGCAAGGTCTGGGTAACAGAGGCCAGAAACTAAACAGGATTTGCCTTTAACCCTCTCAGGCCAGAGCCTCTGTTCTCCAAATTCCTGGAATCCTATTGCCTCCTCTAAATTCATAGATAAAAACTTTTTCCCTGAAGCCAAAGGCAACCCAAGGCACATACTACATCAGAGTCAGATAGTTTACTCACCTCAGCCCAATTTCTCCAAACTAGTCTACACATCCAAATTAGTCTCCATGTCCTCATCTTTTACTCACTCTAACCCACTCTGATGTGGCTCCAAGGTTTCTGGTGACATCCTGTTCTAAATCCAGTGGACATTTCACAGGCGATATCCTCATTGGCCTCTGACATCTGGTTCTCCTTGCTGCCCCCCTCCCCACCTCCCTCTGCTCCTTCTCAATCTCCTTCATGGTAGCTATTTCTCTGCCTATCACTAATACATTGGGTTTTTCAGAGTTCTCTTTCCATGCGCTTTCATCCACTCCTATGGTTTCAGTGACCATCTTTGTGCACATGAATTTTAAATATCTGTGACAAGCTCCAGGCCGGGTATGGCGGCTCATGCCTGTAATCTCCACACTTGGGAGACTAAGGCAGAAGGATCACTTGAGGCCAGGAGTTTGAGACCAGCCTGGGCAATATAGTGAGACCTTGCCTCTTCAAAAAAGAAAAAGGGGCTCGGTGCCTATAGCTCAGCAGCTAGGCCACCAGCCACATGCCCCGGAGCTGGTAGGTTCAAATCCAGCTCTGGCTTGCCAAACAACAATGGCAACCACAACAACAACAACAAAAATAACCAGGGGCCGGCACCTGTGACTCAGTGGGTAGGGCGCCAGCTCCATATACTGAAGGTGTTAGGTTCGAACCCGCCCAGGCCAAACTGCAACAAAAAAATAGCCAGGCTTTCTGGTAGGCACCTGTAGTCCCAGCTACTCGGGAGGCTGAGGCAAGAGAATCACTTAAGCCAAGGAGTTGGAGGTTGCTGTGAGCTGTGACACTACAGGACTCTACTGAGGGCAATAAAGTTAAGACTCTGTCTCTAAAAAATAAAAAAATAAAAAAAAAAGCCAGGTTATGGCAGGCGCCTGTAGTCCCAGCTACTTGGGAGGCTGAGGCAAGAGTTTGAGTTTGCCCAAGAGTTTGAGGTTTCTGTGAGCTGTGATATCATATCACTCTACCAAGGGCGACATAGTGAAACTCTGTCTCAAAACAAAAAAGAAAAGAAAAGAAAAAGAAATTAGTCAGATATGGTGGCTAGTTCCAGCTACTTGGGGGACAGAGGCAGGAAGATTGTCTAAGCCCAGGTGGTTGAGGTTACCGTAAGCTATGATTGGCCATGGAATGCCAGCTTGAGTAACAGAGTGAGACTCTGTCTCAATGAAAGAAAAGAAAAGAAAAAGGAAAAAAAGCCCATGGCCAGTTCCAATGCGAGCTGCACTTCCACTGGGGACACAGCTCCCTGTGGGACAACCCCTTCTCCCTTCCTTTGTTACTCATGCCAGAGATATGGGTGTCCTCTCCGAGATATGGGCACATGCCCCTTCTTCTATCCTTCAGCCCCCCCTTTTTCCTTTGTCCACTTGGTCCATTTCTCCCTATCTCCATCACCATCTCCAGGGTTTACGGCTCACTGCTTAGCTTGTCAAACAAGCCCTATACAATCTGTTCCTGGTTTCTGAACAATATCAGGTTTCATTACCTCTGAGCCTTAATGCATGCTGTAAAACACCCCCACCCAGTGCAAATTCCCAGCTTCAGCTATTTCTTCCAGGAAGTATTCTCCAACCAGGTTGGGTTCAGGTCCCTTCTGTGGGCTCCCAAGCCCCTGTGCTAAGCCCAAACATAATGACTACACTGTGATTGTCTATGAATCTGGCTTAATGGACCTGCCATCCTTGAGGGCAGAAAAAGGCCTTGCTTATCTGCCATCCCAGCACCCAGCATAGAGTGCTGGACTGTGAATGTGAATTTTTTTTTTTTAAGACAGAGTCTCACTTTTTCACTCTCTGTAGAGTGCTTTAACATCATAGCTCATGGCAACCTCCAACTCTTGGGCTCAAGCGATTCTCTCTTGTCTCAGCCTCTCAAGTAGCTGGGACTAGGTGTTCACCACAATGCCCAGCTAATTTTTAGAGATGGGTCTCGCACTTGCTTGGGCTGGCTGGAACTGTGAGCTTAGGCAATCCACCCTCCTCGGCCCCCCAGAGTGCTAGGATTATAGGTGTGAGCCACCACACTCAGCCTTGGGCTGTGAATGTGTTGGATGAGTAAAGGCTGCTTAAGACAGACCCTTTACTCTCATGAGATGTGAGATTTTTCCTTTAAGCTTTCTATTATGATGAGGCCTCTGAATTTCCTTCCACACTAGGTGAACTTAGGCAAAGCACTTCCTTCTCTGAGTCCCCAACATCTATAAAAATAGGAGGATCCAGCCTGGGAGTGGTGGGTTACATCTGTAATCCTAGCACTCTGGGAAGCCTAGGTGGGACGATTGCTTGAGCTCAGGAGGTCAAGACCAGCCTGAGCAAGATTGAGACCCCTGTCTCTACTAAAAATAGCAAAATTAGTTGGATATTGTGGTGGGCACCTATAGTCACAGCTATTTGGCAGGCAGAGGCAGGAGGAAGCCCAAGGAATTTGAGGTTGCTGTGAGCTATGATGCCATGATAAGATACTCTATCCTGGGGCAACAGAGTGAGACTCTGTCTCAAAAAAAAAAGAAAAGAACAGAAAAGAAAGGGAAAATCCTTTTGTTAGCTTATCCTAACCTATCTTAAGCCTGGGCTAGAGCTTCCTTAAAGGGAGGGAACCCAAGGCTTTACCATCCCTTTCTTCATACACACTCCTGTATGGCAGCCTGGCTGCTACTGGGACCCAGAATCAGTTGGGTTTTTTTTTTGAGACAAAGTCTCTAGCTGTCGCCCTGGGTAGAGTGCTGTGCCATCACAGCAATCTCAAACTCTTAGGCTTAAACGAATCTCTTGCCTCGGCCTCCCAAGTAGCTGGGACTACAGGCGCCTGCCACAACGCCTGGCTATTCTTTAGTTGTACTTGTCATTGTTGTTTGGCAGGCCCGGGCTGGGTTCGAACCTGTCAACTCCGGAGTATGTGGCTGGCACCCTACCCACTGAACTACAGGTGCCGAGCCTTGGAATCAGTTTTTGAGGAGATCTCTGTATCCTACTCATAAGGGGAAACTCGCAGGACAGAGTCTGGGCGAGGCAGTCTCCCCTTCCCCAGGTTGGGCTCTGCTAGGTTATGACCTGTTCCTGCAGAGAGCCCCAAAGAACCCACAACTTCCATACTTACAAAGATGAGCAAATTGAAGAAGAACATCATGGTCTTAATGAAGCTGAAGCACTGCATGGTGGCTCCTGCTAGGCAGACAGGTACGAGTTAGGACTTTTCCATCTTTCCCTCTACCTCCACTGGCCCTGGCTTCTGGATCTGACATGCCAGACCTCAGCATCCTGGACCCATATATCACCAAGCTTCCCTTACACCTGGACTCTTGACAATTCAGGACTTTTCCACATTCCCATCCTAACACCAGCACCTGACACTGAGATCCTAACACCTGTGTTTCCTCCACTGCCACCCTACATCTGATTCCCATGCTGCAAGTCACTCTTGGGCTCCTCCCCAAACCAACCCCAGATCTTTCCAGGACCCTCCCTACGGCCTTCCAGCTCCCCAAAGAATCTGTTTCCAGATCAATCGATATCACTTCACAGGATAATCTCTACCATATGCCATCACCTGTTCGGGACTCTTGGCACCGTGTTCTGGAAGAGGGCTACGGTGAGGCTCCAGAAGGGACTGAAAAGTTCCAGGGAGCTGCCACCAAGTGGGCAGGCAGAGTGAAGGCTGGCTCTCACACACCACTGCTCACCTACACGCAGGTAAGACGCTTTAAAAGCTTCCTTCTGCCCGCCCGCAGGCCCCACCCGTAGCTAGTCAGCCTCCCCTTTTCCCTCCTGCCCCCTGCTGCCCCCTGCTGCCTGGACACAAGTCCCCACCACCACAGCAAAGGTCTCCACCTGGCAACAGCAGCCATGGGCAACGCCCTTTCTGATTTCCAGAAGGGTGAACAGCCTGAAATAGGATAAGTGGCTCCCCAAAACTTCCACATAACCCCACCACCACAATGGTGCGCATATATTTCTCACCCTAAATCTGCTGACACACTCATATGTACCCCATGTGCTTGCAGGCACTTATCTACCCATGCTGCCATTCGAAAGTTTACATAGTAAGCATAGTTACATATGCAAACACCTGCCACTACTCTTGCATGTGCAAACACACACACATACACACACAGAACTTTTTGTGGGCTGACTCCTAGCAACTAAAAATAGAATGACATCTGAGGTACGCACTTAAAGGCATTCTCTCTCTCTCCTCACACACACACACACATACTCTTTCAAAGAAATGACAGAGGTTTGGGAGCTTCTGCTATCTCCTCAGAGAAGCAAATGTTTCTTAGTCCTTTTCCCACCACAAAACCTCAAATTTCCCATCTTTTTCCTCCCTTCATCATTCCTCCTCTTTCCTTTCCCTCCCCACCTTTTCCTCTCCCTCCCATCTCCAGTTTTCCCTTAGCCGTGTACCCTCCTCCCCTTTCTGCCAGCAGGTGGCATCATGGTCCCATGAAGTAGTCACCCCACTCCCCACCCCAGGGTTAAAACTCCCTAATCCCAATCTCTTTAACCCTTTGGGGCTGCCTGCTCCAATACTCCTGATGTTGAAGTGCTGGGAAAGTTCTGGCTTTCAAGTCACTCAGACCAGGTGTTTGAATCTTGGTTCTGTCACATATTAGCTGTGTGACCCTGGGAGCATTTCTTTGACTTGGTTTTAAGCCGCTGTTTCCTGGTATGTATAATAGAATAGTTATGAGGTTTTGAAATGAGATTTTCTTCCTGCTATGGGACATGAGGGAGTGAATACAGAGCCAGAAAGTCAGAGGAAGAGAGACACAACCACAAGGGCTGTGGAATGGAGGAAGTAGGTTTTCTTTTCTTTCTTTCTTTCTTTTTTTTTTAGAGACAGAAGCTTACTTTGTCACCCTAGGTAGAGTGCTGTGGCAACACAACTCACAGCAACCTCAAACTCTTGGGTTCAAGAGATCTTCTTGCCTCAGTTTTTTTATTTTTAATAGAGACAGGGGTCTCACTTTTGCTCAGGCTGGTCTCGAACTCATGAGCTCAAACTATCCACCCATCTCGGCCTCCCAGAGTGCTAGGATTACAGACGTGAGCCACCACACCTGGCCTAGTATTATTTTTAGTAAAGATGGGGTCTCACTCTTGCTCAGTCTTGAGCAACTGAGCTCAAGTAATCCACATGCCTCAAGCCTCTCAGAGTGGCTAGGATTACAAGGAGTGAGCCACCCCGCCTGGCAAAGATACTTTCTTTCTTTCTTTTTTTAAGTTTATTTTATTTTATTTTTTTCTTTAGAGACAGAGTTTTACTTTATTGCCCTCAGCAGAGTGCCACAGCATCACAGCTCACAGCAACCTCCAAATCCTGGGCCCAGGCAATTCTCTTGCCTCAGCCTCCTGATCAGCTGGGACCACAGGTGCCCGCCGCAATGCCCGGCTATTTTTTGTTGCAGTTTGGCTGGGGCTGGGTTCGAACTTGCCGCCTTCAGCAAATGGGACCGGTGCCCTACCCACTGAGCCATAGGTACCGCCCAAGATACTTTCTTTTTATCTCCACTTTAAATATAGAGAAACGGAGGCACCAAAAGGTTAAGTATTTGCCATGATCACACAGCTTCTAAGTGGCAAAGCCAGGATTCAATCTCAATCTGGCACCAGAGCCCATATTTTTTCTTTGCAGTTTTTGGCCGGGGCTGGGCTTGAACCTGCCATCTCCAACATATGGGGCTGGTGCCCTACTCCTTTGAGCCACAGGCACCACCCCAGAGCCCACATCTTAACCACCAGGCAGACCATCACATCAGTGGAGTTTCTAAGGAGGCAGGCAGGCCTGGCTTCTATAAATAGCAGGGGAAGACGCCTTGGTCTGGGACCTGAGGAAGAGGAGTGGCAGGAGCAAGCAGGTTTTGATTATAGTGGCTAGAAGTTGATGGGACAAGATCGTATTTAAAGACTGAGGATAGTAAGAATACAGGCTGCAGGGGATAAGAAAGATGTTAGGCCTGTGAGGTCTTCTGCAGAAACGGAAAGAAGATGGAGGTTGGGAAGGAGGTCTATAAGTAGAGGGATGGTGAAAAGAAAAGGGAGAAGGGGCTGAGGTGTGGAGGGAGAAAGGACATGTCCAAAATCCCACAGCAATTAAGTTCAAGGCTGAGCAGAGCCACTGACTCTATAGTCTCCTACAAGAGAGGAGATGAACCCAGGGTTAGCAACTCTTAGATCCCCAAGGCATCTAGCTGTTCCTCCACCTGTACTGACTGTCCACATGGCATTGTCATTCATCTCAGGAAGAACTGGGACAAGGTCACATTCATCTATGTCCCTGGTACCCAGCACATATGAAATTAAACTAGTGACTAAATGAGTGCAGAATAACACGAGTTAAGTACTACTAAACTTAGTAGTGGGTAAGTAGTGGTGGGTGGATAGTTTGAGCTCATGAGTTCGAGAACAGCCCAAGCAAAAGTGAGACTCCTGTCTCTACTAAAAATAAAAAAACTGAGGCAAGAGGATCTCTTGAGCCCAAGAGTTTGAGGTTGCTGTGAGCTGTGACGCCAAGCACTCTACCTAGGGTGACAAAGTGAGCCTCTGTCTCAAAAAAAAGAAAAGAAAAAAGAAAACCTACTTCTTCCATTCCACGACCCTTGTGGCTGTGTCTCTCTTCCCTCTGACTTTTGGATCCTGGCCAACAGGGATTTGAATCACTGCCTGCCTCTAATTATATGACTTCACCTCACTGAGCCTCAGTTTCCTTATACAGTTGATCTTCATTATTCATGGATTCCATATCAGCAAATTCACCTAGTTCTGAAATTTGTTTGTAACCCCAAAAGCAATACTTGTACTTTTGCAGTTATTCATGGGGATGAACAGAGGCAAAAATGTCCTACACTCATTTCCTGCTGAGGTCTGTGAAGCAACGGGATTCTCTGCTTTCTGATTTCAGCTCTTATAAAAGTAAATAATGTTCTGGCTTGGTGCCTGTAGCACAGTGGTTATGGCGCCGGCCGCATGCACCAAGGGTGGTGGGTTCAAACCCAGCCTAGGCCAGCTAAACCACAATGACAACTGCAACAAAAAATAGCCAGGCATTGTGGTGGGTGCCTGTAGTACCACTCCTTGGGAGGCTGAGGCAAGAGAATCACTTAAGCTCAAGAGTTGGAGGTTGCTGTGAGCTATGACATCACAGCACTCTACCAAGGGTGACATAGTGAGACTCTGTCTCAAAACAAAAAAAGTAAATCATGTTCTTTCAGCAGTCTATTTAGTGTCCAATTTTCTCACATTTCTTTTTTTTTTTTTTGAGATGGAGCCTCAAGCTATCCCCCTGGGTAGAGTGCCATGGCATCACGCTCACAGCAACCTCCAACTCCTGGGCTCAAGCGAGTCTCCTGCCTCAGCCTCCCAAGTAGCTGGGACTACAGGCGCCCGCCACAATGCCTGGCCATTTTTTTTTTGGTTGCAGCCATCATTGTTGTTTGGCGGGCCCGGGCTGGGGATTCGAACCCGCCACCTTAGGCGCCTTAGCCGCTTGAGCCACAGGCGCCGAGCAAATTTTCTCACATTTTATGTGGGTGTTTTTTTTTGTTTTTTTTTTTTTTTTTGTGGTTTGGCTGTCTAAAATGGCCTCCAACTGTAGTGCTTTTGTGCTATCTCGTTTTCTTCAGTGCAAGAAGACTGTGATGTGCCTTACAGAAGAAATGTATATGTTAGATAGTTTTCATACAGGAACAAGGTATAGTGCAGTTGGCCATGAGTTCAGTGTTAATGACTCAACAATATATATTAAAGAAGTTGTCTCAGCTGGGCACAGTGGCTCACATTTCTAATCCTAGCACTCTGGGATGCCAAGGCAGGTGGATTGCTTGAGCTCAGGAGTTAAAGACCAGCCCAAGCAAGAGCTAGACCCTGTCTCACTAAAGTAGAAAAACTAGCCAGGCATTGTGGCAAGCACTTAGGCTGTGGCAAGAGTATTGCTTGAGCCCAAGAGTTTGAAGTTGCTGTGGGCTACGACACCATGGCACTCTACCTAGGGTAAGAGTGAAACTCTTTCTCTCAAAAAAATAAGTTATTGAGAAGCTAGGTGCAATGGCTCATAAAATTACGTTACATATTGACAAAGTATGACCAGAAGGTTGTAGGAACCTAACCCTGTCTTTCCCTAAGGAACAATCATTTTGTATTTAATGTTCTTGGTGACTTTATAAAAAATAACTAGGCCAGGCATGGTGGCTCATGCCTGTAATACTATCACTCTGGGATACTGAGGCAAGTAGACTGCTTAAGCTCAAGAGTTTGAGACCAGCCTGAGCAAGAGCAAGACCCCATCTCTACTAAAGATAGAAAAACTAGATGCCAGGCACTCTACCCAGGGAGACAAAGTAAGACTCTGTCTCAAAAAAAGAAAATAAAAGGAAAGAAAATAACTATTGAGAATGAGAACTGACTATATACAAATGGGGATAATGATAGAATCCCCTTATAAAGTTGTTGGGGGATTGAGATAATGTTAGCAAAGTACTCAGCATAGTTTCTGGTACATAGTAAGTATTCGATAAACATTATTATTATTATTATTATTATTATTTGGAAACAGAGTCTCACTTGGTCTCCCTTGGTAGAATGCTGTGGCATCACAGCTCACAGCAACCTCAAACTCTTGGGCTCAACCGATTCTCTTGCCTCAGCCTCACAAAAGCTGGGACTATAGGCACCCACCACAACA